AAGCTTGATAACGTATGTGAAAATAATAAACATAATGGGATTAATGTGTCAACAAGTGCATTGGTGAGTAATGGCATGAAAACTGAAACAAGCATCTAACACTGCATCGCATGAACTGCTATTGGGTCGACCCTTGCAAGAAACCACATGAAACTTTGCATAAAACCTTGCATATAATCTCACCTATAACCTTGCACATAGCTTATTGGAATGGTTTGCAAAGATGTCTAATACAGTAAGGAACAAATAATTGCCATGTGCAAAGCGATATCTGTGCAGGAAACCAGAAAGGAGCCATGTGAGAGAGCAGTGATACAAGGTCCAATTGGTCTAGGTGATTGAGTCTATCTGAGGATGCTCTGGAGAGCTCAGGAGGAAAGGACCATATCTGGATGAGGGCAAATCCAACAGCTGCCAAAGTGGATGCCATTGATGAGGTACCAATGCCTGATAGGAGCGAAAGGGAACAACTCCAGCAAGGGAAAGCTGACTGGAAACAGAGGAGCCTGAATATTCCAAAGCTCTTAACTACTAAGTGCAATGTGTGGAAGCAAGAGTTTATCAGAACAAAGAAAACCGTGATTCTGATAATATGCCTGAATGCCACATACAGAAGTGCCACAAGTCAAGGGATGATGAATGCACAACTACAGATTTTAGAACTCAGACTCTCAACCACACATCTCCATCAACATCTTTTCAAAGTTTAATGAAGATGCTGATAGCTTAGAAGAAGAGAAACAAGGATGAGCAAAGATCAAGATCAACATTTGATGCTTTTTACGTTTGCATATTGATTTTGTTTGCATATTGCTTTCATGGTACCTATATATAATATCACTTCAGTATATTCTACATGAGTGTGAAAACTAGCAGCTAGCACTGAACCAACTGAATTCTTATGCTTAAAACATTGTTGTCTTTGATGGGTTAAGAGAAAAACAGAGTACAGTCTTTTACTTCCTTCAAATCAAAAGAGAGGGGAGATGTTTGGCTGGACTTCTGTCAAAGTACAGTGGCATAATCTAGTCAATTGATAACAGCTATGTTGCTTATATCAGTCACTAGATAGAGGTAATTAAGAGAACTGGATTATGAAATTGCACTTTGGGGCTGACAATAATATTAAGACTAAAGTCTTAAGAGGAGGGATTGAAGAAGATTTTATTATCTCTGTATGAAGTATATTCTAAGTGTAAAGCAGTTAATTTTCTCTTCACAAAATGTATGTAGTGTTTGCCGCAAACATGCCAGCCTGTGTTAAAAATACAGTGATATGTCTGTGTAAGATGAGTATGCCTGCACAGGAGCAACACTAGGAGAAGGCTGAGTGACTGATTGTGTGGAATAACTAAATATGTAAAGCACTGATTATATATGTTAAATACTTGTATGAAGCTATATGTGTTAGAAGTTAAAATGAGTAACATATTATCAAGTTATTATCCTGTCATAACAATGTATGTAAACACTTAGTTCCTTTGCATAAGTTGCATCTATACTTTGCTGACATAGACCTGTAACATCTCTGTTGACATGAGCTAGTGGGCTGAGAGCCAAGAATAGCAGGACCCCTTAGACTAGAAAACCTATTCAAAAATGGTCAAGAGTTAAAAAGAGACACAAAGGGGTGTGTCATAATTACCAGTATAAAGATTGTAACAAACACAGAGACTTTAGAAGGAGCAGGAGGAGAATGCTATGAGGTCTGCTTTGCTCTTTCTCGGCTTTATTATGAAGAAAAAAGTCTATTTTTTGATATTCAAAACCTCCGGTCTGATCATTTTTAATTAATAAGAAGTTCGGGGGAGATGACCGAGTAAGGTTCGGGGGAGATGACCGAGTAACGCGAGATTCTGCGAGACCTGGTGCTTGACCCAAAATGGCGGCGTCCGTCTGCTAGACAAACAAACAAAAAACTTTGGTGTTATTTCCATTTTTCTCCTCACTTATCATCATCGTATCTCGCTTTTCAAAAATCGGACTATATCACTGTATCTGGACTATTTTCTTTTTTCATTTTTTTTCCATCCTGGATCAACTGGAAGACTACATCGACGCACTCTACAGAACAACAGAAAAGGTAACCTCACTC